TATTTTAAAAAGGTCTTCATGAAGTTGAATTGTGTTATTTTGTTTTGTTTTTTACTTTTTTGTTTTTGAGGAAGACTAGCCCTGAGCTAACTGCTGCCAATACTCCTCTTTTTGCTGAGGAAGACTGGCCCTGAGCTAACATGCGTGCCCATCTTCCTCTACTTTATATGTGGGACGCCTACCACAGCATGGCGTGCCGAGCGGTGCCATATCCGCACCCAGGATCCGAACCGGGGAACCCCGGGCTGCCAAAGCAGAACGTGTGCACTTAATTGTGTTGTTTTTAATCTTGGATTGGACGTTTACTAATATTTAGCGTGTCTTCATTTGTGAACAATCTGTGTATGTCCTTTACCCAGTTCTCTATTGGGGACACTGCTATTCTTCATGTAATTGCACACAAAATTTTCATTTATTAAGGGCATTGCACCTCTTGACATTTCATAGGTTTATTTTTCCAAGTTATTTGTATTTTTTTGTCTTTTGCTTTTTGTTAGATCTTTTTCCACATACAAAAATTTTAAAAAATTAAGTAGCCAAATATTTCTATCTTTCCCTTTGAGACTTTTCCATCTTTTTAAGCTTACAAAGTCACATTTCATACGGAGGTTTGACATATATCCACCTATAACCCTACTAGTTTTATTTTAAAAATTTTAAAAGTAACTATTTAACCCACCAAGGGTTTATTTGAACAGAAGACGTGAGGTAAAGACCTTGCCGGGGCTGCATTGGGAGCTGCGATCTGGGAGCCAGGGCGTCCGGCTTGCGTGGGGCTCGCACAGACGGGCAGACGGCCTGGGGGAGGCGCCCTGGACAGGCAGAGGCAGAGCTGCTCCAGACTGCACTCGGGTCCAGGGTCCTTTTATCCTCAGGTGATGTTGGGGACTGAATTGTGTTCCCCAGAAATTCCTGTGTGGAAGTCCCATCCCCGGTACCTCAGACTGTGACTGTGTTTGGAGATGGGCCTTTAAAGAGGGGATTAAGGTAAAAGAGATCATTGGGGTGGGCCCTAATCTAGCGTGCCTTCCAGTAGAAAGAGGTTAGGACACAACACACACTCAGGGCAGTCTGTGTGAGGACACAGGCAGGAAGGCGCCATGTGCAAGCCAAGGAGAGAGGCCACGGAAGACGTCAGCTCTGCCAACTCCGCCTCCATCTGGGACCTCCAGCATCCGGAACTGTGAGGACACACATTTCTGCTGTTTGGGCCCCATTCTGCGGTACGTGTCACGGCGGCCCGAGCAAACCACTGCAGGCGGCTCCCTGGTACAGGCCTCAGAGCTGTCTGAGGGGGCTCGCAAAGGCGCCCAGCAGAGTCTGCTGGTGAGACCCAGTCAAGGCAGCAACATGAATTTTTAAAAATCATTTTAAAATTGTGTATAATGCATCTTCATTGAAGAAAAATCAGGACATACAGATTAGCAAAAAATAAGCACCCGGGGTGCTAATGCCCCCAGTGGTCCCAACTCACCGTGCTGTGTCTCCTGCTAATGGGGCCTCCTCTGGCTCTGTTCCCAGCGGTGGCCACCCGCTCCCCTGGGCTGTGCAGACCACACGTCTCTCCTGGAGACAGCTGTTGAGGCACGCACTGGGGGGCCACAGCAGTGCTAAGATGGCCAGAAGAGTCCCCTCACCCCATCATCACCCAGCGGCCACGGGGTCCAGAGGCTGCTGCATCTGTGGGGCTGGAACTCCATCTGCCCCACCCCCTCTGCAGCCTCCAAGAAGGGCTTTCAGTCTCTGCCGGCACGTGCCACTGCCGCCTCCTCCTGGAGCAACTCCACCTGCTAGGAAATGATCTGAGCCCAGGCTCACCCTCACCTTTGACCCGAGTCCAGGCTAGCCTTCACCTTTGACCCAGTGGCACCCACAGAAAATCAGAAGGCAGGCTTGGGGAGAGGGCCACAGGGCCTGGTCGGCTCAGAGGTGAACATTCTCGTGTCTCCTCTCCATGTTCCCCTTTCCTCACCGTGGGGCTTTGAGCACTCTGTTCCCTTTGCTTGGAATGCCTTTCCTTCCTACTTTCTCTAAATTTCCCTGTTGGAATCCTGCTTACTCTTCACGGCTTGGCTCAAAAGCCACTTCTTCCAGGAAGCCTTCCCTGGTCACCCCTCCCCAACTAAATGGAATGCTCTCTCTGGGCCCATACCTCCCTATCTGCCCTACTCATAGGTAGCGCTGGGTGTGTGCTGCCTGGAATTAAAATACGCACATCACCTTCCCCAGATGGTAGGCTCCTGGTTAGGTTCATTTCTGCATTCCACCCTTGTCTTGATTCTTTCAAGCTGCTATAGGAAAAACAGTAAAGACTGGGTGGCTTCAACAGCATACATTTATTTCCCACAGTTCCAGAGGCCGGGAAGTCCAAGAGCAAGGCACTGGCGGACTCGGTATCTGGTGAGGGCCCCTTTCCAATGGCCTCACGTGGTGGGAGGGGTGAGGGAGCTCTCTGGGGTCTCTTTCTATGAGGGCACTAATCCCATGGTGAGGGCTCACCCTCAATGCCTCAGCGCCTCCCAGAGGCCCACCTCCTAACACCATCACATGGGGGCTAAGTTTGAACACACGACTGTGAAGGGGACACGAACAATCCAGCTTGGCAATGCTCCTCCCGCACCAGCGCCGAGCCTGGCTTGGAGGAGGTTCCAACTAGACTTTGACTTTTGGGTGTAAAATTTTGACTTCCTTACAGCAGAGAAAATATCTTGGCAAAACTCACATTTATCATTTGGAAAAACTTTCACACAGTGCATAGCATTTGTTCCTCACAACATCTTCGAAGTAAATGTTATCCAGTTTATAACCATTGTACAGATGAAGGAACCAAGGCTTCTAGAATTAAGAGACTGCTGACATCAGCAAACTGACCATCAGAAGCTGGAACTGAGACATCCCTCTGCCTTTTTCACAGCCCTGGGGCAGCCTCATGCCCCCTCCAGGTCACCTCTGTACCCAGCACCAAGCAGGGGGCCTGGCTCCAGGGAGAGTTAGAGGAACAAAAGGGCCGAAGGCTTAAGCCTCACCTGGCAGACCTCAGACACTGCCCTCTGCCTGTCTCTGATGGTCACCGAGGGCAGAGGTGCTGGGGAGGCTGCCCGAGCACGCTCAGGCTTGGCACGGCCCCACTCCTTACTGGAGGCCTTGCCCACGGCCTCCGTTCCGCTGTCATGTGGGGGGCTGCACCTGCTCTGGTTCCTACAGACACTGGTGCCCCATAGTGAGGAGGGCAGGAGGGAGGCCTCTGTCCTAGGAGAACCAGGGACAAGCCTACTCTGCTTCATCAGTTCTCATAGGTTTGGGGTCCAATTTTCAGTGCCAAAACGCCATCGTTTCTCCCTGAAGTTTGTGCCTCTCAGTCATGAGCATGGGAAGCAAGGAGCTGGGCCAGTGCTCCACGCAGCAGCATGCCTGTCCCCCAGGAATCACCTTCGTCACCATCCATTGCCGAAATGGATGGAGGCTGCGCAACTGGCTTTATTAAATATGAATGAGTCACAGCCCATGCGGTCACTCACCCACTCCATCTCTGGCAATTACTGCGTCGCACACACTGTGCCAAGGGGCGCAGCGGTCCCTGCCTGCCCTTGCAGACTGACACCGCCCAGCAGGGGCAGGGCTCGGGTCTGCAGCTGCCCTGCCCCTGACGGAAAGCCACCTCAGGGCTCCCGTGCAGCCAACATGCTCAGCTCTGAAGGGACAGGGACAGGGCACCTCCAGCAGAAGGACTGGGGACTGCCAGGCTCTGAGCGCTGGTCAGACAGGACCTATCACTCTGGAGCCCAAAGACGGGGTCCCCTGAGCTCTGCATGTTAGAGGCATGTGGGAGCACCCAGATAGTTCAGGTTCCAGGTAGTTTTAAGATCCAGCCCGAATCAAGGTTAAGCGCTTGTGGGCACTCGCACACCATTACTGAGCACACATTCAGTGTGCGCGAGCTTAGTCCTCACAGGAAGCTCATAGGGGGTAAGCTTCGTGTTAGTAGGGTCCATGTCAGCACCGTTCACTGCTGTGTCCCCAGCACTGGGGACAGAGTAGATGTTCAACCACTATTTGTTGAATGAATGAATGAATGAGGTGGCTGTTACTGACCATTTTGGAACCTTAATGAAGTTGAAGTTACAGAATTTAGCCAAGGTTCCCCAGCCAGAGAGCCCCAGAGCCAGGCGCACGGGCTCATCCTGCCAACCCGGCTGGCGGTAGGCCTGGGCTCTCTCGAGAGCAGGCATTCTGCCCCTACCGCGCCGCCCAGGCCGCAGTCTAACACTGCAGCGCGTCGTCCCAGCTGCGCGGATTGGTTCCGAGCCCCACTTCATCAGGAGAGCCAGTAAAGCTCCCCACAACCCCATGTGGCTTTGTCAAAGCTGTCAAAGACCATCTATGAAGTTGTAAAAACGAGGTCAAATTATTTTTCTGAACTTAAAAAATTACTTTTATTTTAGGAACCAATAAAATTATGGCAAATATTTACAAATAATTATCTCACATAAAGGTTACATAAAACCAATTCTTCACAAGTAACAATCACTCATGAAAAGACACACAGATATTGAAACTACGCCAATCTTATTGTAAGTTTCTCCAACTAATCTAAAATAAAATTGTTGCAGTCAACCATTTAACTTAGAATAAAACCACAAATTCCAGGTTTGACAAGAAAAAAAAGTGAAAAAATTAAACCAAAATCCCATCCCGGTTTTCTCCCCAGTCCCACCCCAGCCCCTGCCCTCCTCTCAAGAAAAGAAAAATATGTCCAACATCTTTGGCAAATTGGCACTGCTGTAATTACATTCAAATATTATTACACACAAAAGCAACACACATCACTAAGAAAAAAACTACCAATATTTCAAGTCAGTTATTTCCTACTAGAAAAAAAGAATACAAAACATACACATTTTTAAGAAGCACGTTTTTTCAATCTGTTGGAGACAGATCATCTTCCACTTTCAAAGGCAATTCAATTGTAGTTGGTTTTTTTGTTGGGTTTTTTTTTGTACTTTTTTTTTTTTTTTTTACAAGTAATCGTCTATGCAGGCATCACAAACTTTGGTGGATACAGTAGATATGTATTTCTCTGATGCTGGAAGTTCAGTCCCTAAGACCAAGTCAGCTGTCTCAAAGAATGAAAAGCAAAATCCATGTGTCTTCCTGGCAAAGAATTCCATTTGCAATGTAATCTGCATTTCTACAAATGCTCAATGTCCAAAGGCCACTAGAGGGTGAAAAGCCAGGGCAGCATCTTCCAGCAAGAGTCAGGGCAAAACCTGGTCAGATTTCTACCCCGGGCCCAAGCATGGAGGCCCAGCAGCCGGGGCCACAAGGCAGGGCCCTCGCTGCCCGCTCCCCCACACCATGCTGGCAGCTGGGGCCTCTTCCCGAGCCCCAGGACGGGCTGCTGCCAGGTCTGCTCACCGTCTCTGACCAAAGGCAGGAGAGCAGGCAAGAACCGGCATGAGGACAGTCAGCACTGTCTGAGTTTCAAGTATGTCTGAGGTGTAGGGGTGTGCGTGCGTGTGTGCATGTACATACTGACATGCGCACGCATCGCGGGGGAGGCCCGATTTGGAGGCTCTGAGCTTTGCAGGGCATTTCAAATAGATTCAGGACTTATTTATTTTCTTTTTAGCTGTATAGCAATTAATTGGCTATTGATTGGTTGGAATATTCAACTCTCCATTTCCTCAAATACAATAAAATAGTTTCATTAAAATGTATTCATGCTTGAAAATAAGGGAGCCATTAAATGGTTTCCTTTCTGTTCCACTCCAAGGGAAATGCACCATTTGTAAATCAAAAATCCATCCTCCAAAATCACTTGTTCTTAACGGTGCTTCTGGAGAAGATGAGGGACGTGGCCACAAGCGTGGCAATTTGGGGATGAGTGTGGCCCGGCGGCCGTAGTTGCAGGACTGGGTGGGCCAGGGGTTGAATGGGGGAGGCTGTAGCTTGCCCCTTCCAGCCAGGCCTCAGAGTCGGGGTGAGGGTGCCCTATTCCCGAGCTGTCCCTCTGCCTGCTGGTCCACACGCTTCCCTCCCCCTGCCATGCCCAGAGCTGCCCAAAGCTGAAAGGGGGGATCCGGCCCTCTTTCTCCTGCCCACAGGCCAAATACACTACCTGACCAGCTCCACTGTAGAATGTGAGATTCCCCCAGGAAATGGAGGAACAGCTGCATTTTCTCCTGGTGCCGCTCAGGGGTCTGCGATGTGGGAAGACTATTTGGATGTAGCGAATGGAGGTTACCTTTACCCCCATCGCGGAGACGGGCTCAACGGGACCCCTGGGAACATATGGATTGAAACACTAGAATGGCAGGGGTGTGGCCCTGAGGTCCCTTTTGATCCAGCAGGCGTCCAGGAACAGGACCCAAGTGCGGAAAAATTACAGCAAATGAAGTAAAGACTGGTGTCTACCTGCTCCCAGCAAGCAGCCATGTGAGAAAAGCGGCAGACCCTTGTCAGGAGAGCGGGCGGGCAAGGGACTCGCTTCCAGTCCTCTGCAGCGGCCCCTGGGGACTGGCCGCCACTCTGGAGGCGCAGCCGTGAGCTGACAATGGGGAAGTGAGGATCAACACTGTGGCTCCATCATGAATATGCAAAGGGGAATCCTGAGGTGCGAGGACATCAGGGGACAAGGTACTGAAGGGCTGCGGGAGGTGGGGCAGACTGTGGGCTGGGAGTCGTGGCCTGACTGTCCAACTTTCCAACAACATATTTTGTTAGCTTTTAAGGAATGCATTTGCCTTGGACCTCTCTGAGGCCAAAAGAACTAAAGGAATAAATTTTCTAGGAGCACTGGTGTGCGTGCCTGGAAACCATCAGAGGCAGGTGCCCAGATGGATGACAAGGCCGAGGCTGCAGAGATGGCCTCGTAGCAGGGCCACGGGGAACTGGTCCAGCCCAGAGTGCTGTGGCATCCACCAGCTCCAGCCAGGGCCTGGACTACCCAGGGGCCTGAGTTTCTCTCTACTTGTGGGGAAGCTGTGTTTCGGACATTTCTTGTTTCCAGGTATTTGTCAGGAGTGCTTGGTTTGTTTTTAAGATTTGCTCCCCATGGCTTGGAGCTAAATTCTGACTGAAATGTCATCCAGAAGGAGGCAGCTGGGTGCCAGGGGCTGCCAAAGGCAGGGCAGTGGCTCCGAGACATGACTCCTCATAAAGGGATTTCACCCCTCAGTGCCCCGTGGTCACATCTGCGGCTCTTCTCTGCACGTGGGAGAGGCCCCCACAGCACTGACTTCCCTCAGAGCCCACAGACCCTCCACCCCCACCGCCCCCAACATTCCACCGGCTCACCTTCCAAGCCCAGCCTGCGAGAGCCCAGGATGAGGAGGCAGGGCACGGGGGCCGGGGTCTGTTCCTGACACCGACTGGCCGGACAACCCGACGCTTGTCTCTCCTCTCTCTGGGCTCCCATTTCCCCCAAATCTGCACTGAAGGGCAAGGAGGTGAAGAAGAAAGGAGGCACCGGACAAAGATCGGGGGTCAGAAGCTGGTGGCCAGTGGGTGAAATCTCGCCCACAGACATGTTTTCTTGGCTAGAAGAGCATTGGAAAAGCTCTCACTTGAATGCTGTTGGATGCAGCAAATGCTCTGCATGTCTCGGGTCCCACCACTCACGCTGCCACCCTGCCCGAGGGGCAACATCACTCCACCTGCCTGGCCTGGGATTCTGATCTGCGTTTCCTAGGCCCGTGGGCACCCAGTGGCTCTGCTCGGGGACACCTGCATATTGTCACAGGCAGGCCTGGAGTCTGATCCATAGCGGGAAGGATAAATAAAAGAGTGATGAGACATCTCATGACCCTGGAGCCCTGGGCCCTGGAGTCTGAGCTGGGCCCACGTCCAGGCCCTCTCAGGGCTGTGGTGTGGCCTTGGGCAAGTGCAAGCCCTCCGAGCCTCGGGGCACAGCAGGGAAGGCGTCTGGATGAAACCTCAGACGTGCTGCTGTGAAGCTGGCCAAAGACTTTGCAGGCTTGGGTGTTAATGCACATCGAGTTGAACCAGCAAAGCCACAACCCCCGGGCCCCTCCGTTGGGCCAGCCTGTGGCTCCCTGTTCTTTCCTTCCTCATTATAGGTCTGGGGGCTTCCAGGGGATTGAAGGGTGTCTCCAGGCCATACATTCCCAGGACAGAGGCACAATTCTGTGGAGAGAGAACGGGGCCTGGAGATCTGCCTTGTCCTGTGAGCCCAGAATCTCAGTCTTCCCATCTGTGGGATGGGCTCTGTGCTCTTTGCCCCAGCGGACGGCGGGGGACTGCAAAGCCCTGCACAAACGGCGGTTCCAAAAGGGCCAACCCTGACTAAGGCGCCTGGGGAGGGTGTCGGATTTGATATGTCATCAGATTTTCCAGGTTGGAGCTAGACTAATGGTATGAAATGTTTCATAAAATCCACAATGTCCTTTTAAAAAAGTCAGAGCTGGAACACGGGGCTGAAGGCCATGAGGAACGCCCTGGCCTCCGGCCCCAATGCTGGTGAAGGCCCTGGCCTTGATTTCCACGTGGAACTCTCTGGCAGCTACCCAACGGCTTCAGTCCTTCGGACCCTCCTCTCCAGGTTCCCAGGCCGCCCGCCGGGCAGCGTGGGGACTCAGCTGGTGAGAGCAGGTGCGTGTGTGAGAACGTGCGTGTGCATCCGTGTGCTCTTGTGCTTCTGCCTGGCAGCCCAGGAATCGAGTGGGTGTCTAACAAACACAAATGTGATCTGAGGACCAGCAGAGCCTCAAGGGAGAGGAGAGGTGTGGAGGGGTCTTGTCAGGGCAAGAGGAGAACAGGAGGGGTGGAGGGGCATGCCTGGGCCAGGTAGGCTTTGCCGAGGGAGGATGCTGTGTGCCTTAGGCAGCTGGTCCAGGGAAGGCTAACCTCCTTCCAGCAGCCTGAGGCCACAGGAGGGACCAAGACCCAAGGATGTGGGTGCAAGAGGCCAAGAGGGCTATGCAGCAGACTCCGACCCCACCACTTCCTGAGGGAGGGGGGCGGGGGAAGGGGCCAGGTAACACACCTGCTCCTACCACACCTGGCAGGTGGAGGGTGGAGTCAATTCATCCCAGCCACCTCCCTCTGCCAGCAGGCTCCGGGGGTAGGTGTGCCTGCGTGAGCTCCCTGGCTCCTCTTCTGCCCGGGGTCCTGGGCTTCCTCAGTGGTTCTAACAGCCCAGGAAACCAAATCTGGGGCAGTGGGCCCAGAAGCATCTCTCACTGCCCTCACAGTCAACGCCCCTCCCCAGGGATGGGAGGATCACCATGTGCCAGGGCTCAGGGGGCTGAGTCCCAGCCCCACCTCTGCCAGTCTTTGCCTGGGGATTCCACCTTGCTGAGCCTCAGTTTCCTCTTCCATCCTACTACCTTGTAGGGATATTGGGGGGAAAACAATTGGTGGCCAGAGGAGGTCTGCTCTGTCTCCCTGAATGGACCTGGGCTTCCCCACGTCGGGCTTCAGTCTCCTGGATGGGGGCTGGAGTAGGTCCTCCTCAGGCTGATTCCCAGCCCTCTGGGTGTTCGTTTCCCACTTGGTCTGAATATTAGCAGGATCAGGTGCCTATCCCTATATGCTCACTCAGCAGTGGAGGCTGTGTCCCAGATGACCTGTCACAGCCCTGCAGCCTGGGAGAGAGGAAGGGAAGGAGAGAGGTTGGGTGGCCCTGCAAGTGACTCTGCTGGACCAAGGCAGCTGAGGCTCAGAGAGGTGAAAGGTCTTATCTGAGGTCCCACAGCAAGGCAGAGGTGCAGCCAGGACAAGACTTCTCAGGCCCATAACCTCAAATGTGGGCTCTCTCTGCCCTAGCTCTTTGCCAACTTGGTGACATGCAGACATTGAGGACACTGTCACATGAGGCAGCAAAGTCTACTGTCATTGCTACAATTCAGCCCAGATTTGGACAGGGCCTCCACCTGGCTCTTCTGAGTTGGCCAGAGAGACTATGCGGGGAATTGAGGCCCCAGGCAAAGAGACGGTGGCCCCTGGGACCACCCCCGGTTCACACACCAGCTCTGCACTGCCTGTCCTGCCCCTCTCCCAGGAGGCCTTCTTCCATCCCCCGTATCCTCAGGTGGCTTCTTCTGACAGCTCCAACCCACGGTCAGTTCTCCAAGCTCCCCCTCCAGGCTCCCAAGGGGCCTCACCGCCCCTTGGCCATAGCCCTGACATCACGGCCCCCCTTGCATCAACAGGCGGCTACCCACTACGTGAGGTCAGGCATCTGCCCCTACCCCGGCTCTCTGTTCCCAGCCGCACGCCAAGCTCCAGGAGGTCACGAGGGGCTGCTCGGGAAGTTCAGGCTGACTGATGTAGCTGTTTGTTGTCCTCAGTGCAGGAAAGTCCTTTCCATTAGTCACTGTCTACATGGCAGGGACAAGCTTGCCCAGAATCCACTTGCTGGTGTCCTGGGCGGGGAGAAGTGTCGATGATGGGTGTCCAATGTGATCTGAGCCTGGGTACACTTCAGAGAACACATTCCAGTTCAGGTCAGTGGTTCCAGGGGCTGAGGAGGCAAGAGAGCCTCTGGCCCCACCGTGGACCATGATCTCCTAGGTCCCATGCAGAACTCACATCCAAAGTCCACCATGCAGTCGGCGTCTGGGATGACATCCTTAGAACCGTGGCTGAGGGATTGCCCCTACAGTTCTTTGAGTCCTTTGATACAGAAAATCGCTGCTTGCACTGCACTGGGCCCAGGGAAATGGAGGCAGGAAGCCAGGGTGTCCTCCCAAAGTGTGTTTCTCTTGGGGAAGGGTCTGGGGAGGGGGTGGGGGGGCTTGGTGCATAACCAGCCCAATGAGACTCCCAGTCAAGACATTAAAGAAGTAGCGATGAGCAGGAGGCTGGTGCCCCGAGGTGGGTATCCTCAGTCTCAAGGACAGCTCCAAGTCCACCTGACGGGGTGCACCCAGGGCCAAGGGGACACCTGCACACAGTAGACGTCTAAGATGCCCTGTGATGCTTTGGGAGTGCAGGATGCATCACAGGTGGGCAGTCTGCTCAGTTGGACCCTTAGGCCCACGAAAAAGCAAGAAGGTATTTACATGGGTGCTGTTGAAGCAACAAAAGCAAGCTCTCTTTCCCAGGCCTGGGGCAGGAAGACTGACGGAGGGGCAGATAGCTGGGGGACTGGCGGGCTGCTCTGGGGGCTGCAGTTGTCTGCAGAACAGTCTGTTGGTTTGCAGAGACCCAGTTGCCATTGGGAGAAGCTCATCAATTGACTCTTAGAAATGGAAGGTGTCTAGAAGTCCCACAGCCCCACCACAGAACCCCAGAGTCCTGGCAGGCAAAGGGAGGAGGGAGTTTCAGGCAAGTGGGGGGTTGCTGGGGGCAGTCTCGTTGGGCCCTTCTGGCTGTCTTCAGAGGGGCTGGGAGGCTATGGCCCTCAGTGATATGTGTTGTAAGTGCTTGGCGCCGGCCTGGCTCCGAGGGTCAGTGGCGGTCGTAGGCAGTGGCAGCTGCAGGCGGGGCAGCCCCCCGGGCAGCGGCACTGTAATAGTACGGGGAGCCTGCAAGAGACAGCAGAGGGCACGGAGGTTGGAGGGCCACTTGTGCCCACAGCCCCATACCTGGGGCCCCCTTTGCACCAGTGTCTCCCTCTTCTGTCCCTTCCTCCTCCTCCCCCAGTCCAGGCCACTGTCCTCTCTCACCAAAGCCTCTGTCCCACTCTGTTCCCGAAGCTGCAAACCTGATCAGGCTACCTACTCACAGGTTTCAAGGCCTGCTCGCCCCCTGGGGCTGGGTGGGCAGACAGGCCTCTGCTCAAACCCTCCCGCTGCCTGTTTCAGGAACCAGCGTTGTGCTGGAACCCAGCCTCACACCTTCGTTCCTGTGTTGTCGGGGGCTGCTTTCATACCATTACGGCAGACCTGAGTGTTGCAACAGAGAGCACATGGCCTCAAAGCCTGAAATATTCACTATTGGGCCCTTTAGAGAAAAAGTTTGCCAACTTCTGACCTGGAGCATGAAAAGCCGTCACTTCTTAGTTTGCCCTGGGGATGCTTTGTGACCCAGCCCTACTGACCTCTCTGGATTTACCTCCCGAACCACCGTCCCTCCAGTCACACTCATGCACCACGACACAGTGAAGACTGACTGTGTGCAGCCGTCTCAAATACACCATGATGCAGAGGGCAACCGCCGCGGGCTGAGCACTTCCTCCCCCCACACTGCCACGTCCTTCCCGCGTGTTGTCTCATCTGTGGGCCCCCTTGTATCACACGCTCACGCCTCGACACCTTTTCCTGCCCGTTCCCTGCCTGGAACAGCCTGGCCACACCTTCACCCCCTCTCCTGTCTGCTAAACTGTTCTGCCTCCTTCCAGTCCAGTGCCCCCATCTCCTCCTTGGGGAGCCCCCGCCCTGGGCTCACAGTCCTCTCCAGGGGGGCTCACACCCTGATCACACCCTGCTGTGCTTCTCCTCTCAGCCCTGGACGGAGCTGCCCAGGCTGGGTCCTGCTCTTCTTGGTGTCCGTCCCCAGTCCCCAGCCTGGAGCCTGGCATGTGGCACAAGCTAAGCCAGATTTGTTGAGTAATGAACAACAGCACTGAGTGACCGAACAGTAGTGAGGACCCCTGCCCATTCATTCATTCATTTTCTGACCCTACTGGGTGCAGTGCTGGGCAGTAATGCACCATAACTGGCTTGACACAGGCCAATGTTCAGAGTCAGAAAGGGGATCAGAGCTCTGGGAAAAGAGCTCTGGGGAATGCAAGATGATTCTGGAAGAAGGGTCAGGCTTCCTGGAGGAAGTGGGCTGGGCTGGGTTTGGAGGACAGGTGGGTTTGGACACAGGAGACGGGGGTGCGTGAGTGCATGGGAGAAGGGCAGGGGGCAGCCATGCTCCCCTGCCCCCGGACAGAGCCTGTGGAGGACCCTTGCCCCGATGCTGGCCCCACAGTCTCTGGGAGGCCTTCTTTAAGACACACTTTGATGAGGCCTCCAGAAGCCTGCTCTGTGCTCAACTCCTCCCCAGCGATGAGAGGGTCTGGTGGCTCGGGGAGACCAACAGATTCTCAGAACCACAGAGGTTGGAGACGTTAAGCCATCTCTTCCTTTGACAGGTGAGGAAACTGAGGTTCAAGATACCAAAGTCATGCGCCCAGAGCCACAGAGCCTGTCAGTGCAGAGCCCGGCCTGGCGTTCAGGCTGCCTGCCCTGTGCAGGACTCTCCCCACAGGACGCAGCTCACGGCCTACACGGCCCATGCTGGGGGGGTCACGTTCACGCAAGCGGACAGCAGCTGGGGCCCAGTCAGCCAGCGCAGACCACGTGTCTGCTGGGGGGCGGGGAGCAGCGAGCTTCTTAATTCTCCAGGGGAGGCAACTCATATTTAATCTGGAATCTCACCCGAATCCACACGAATCCTGGCAGTTCCCCCAGACACCCTAACTGGGCACCAGAAACTGGAGACCGCCAGTCAGGCTCTGTCACTCTTGGCTGAGTGACCTTCAACAAGGGGCTTTGCTCCCCTGAGCCTCAGCGTTCTCGTCTATAAAAAGGGGTCCCAGTGCGGCTATTCGAGGGCACCATGAGATAGGGATGCGAAAGTGCTGTGGAAACAGACACTTTTCTAAGCCCCTTACATCCATTAACTCTTTTAATTTCTACAACAATTCTCTTGGGTAGGAACTGGTATTGTCCCCAATTAGCAGATGAGGAAACTGAGGCACAGAGAGAGTAAGTAGCTTGCCCAAGGTCACACAGCTAAAGTGTCATCAGAAGGGCAGGACGGGGGGAGGCACTTTAGCGTGGTCACTTCCCCTCCAAACCCAGCCTCCCACTGGGGGCTACACTATCCCCCCAGGAAGGCAGTGCGGCTCGGCAGCACTGACGCTAGAGGAGCAGGCAGTGCCTGCTGTGCTGCTCCAGAAGCTCGGACACCAACCCCACACCTCAGCACCCCAGAGACGCTGCCTCCTCGGCCACCTCCCGGCTGGAGCCCCAGCTCAGAGACGCCTGCCAGCGCTCTGCTCTTTCCTCTGCGGGATGGAGACCGCCTTAGGATGGTCACCCACAGTGCGTCCGCAGTGCCAGCCCTGCGTCCTGCCTTCAGCCAGGCCCAGGAGAGAGGGATATGTGTGGCAGGGGCCATCCCCACAGGTCTGGGCCCAGCACAGGAGGAAACCAACCCCGGGGCGGCCCCCACACAGGCCTTGAGGGACAGCAAATGGAGCAAGCCTCCTCTGGGGACCCTGGCTCAGCCCTCCAAGTCCCCCACCGGCCGCCTCTCACCCTCGGCTCTGCCTCACTCCATCTCAAAGCCTCACCTCTGGGCCGGGCTGCCCAGCGGCCTCGGCATGAGACCTCTAGCGAGATGGAAGATGCCTGCACTGACAGGGAGCAGGGGCACATCCCCTCATGGAGCACTCTGTCTTCCGGGTCTGTCAGACTTCCGTCTGCAATCAACTTGTCCTTTCTCCTGTCATTTGCCCCCTCTAATTCACATTATCATCCATTTCCTTCCTGACACAGTCACTCTGGGCTCCCGCTTGCTCTCTACTCCCTTTACGGGGCCCCAGCACCCAGTCTAATCCTGATTGACCTTGGAGGCCTTCCTCCCCGATGACCTCTGTGGCCATTGCCAGCCTGGCCCCGACAGGACGCTGGTCACAGTGCCCCACAGGTGGCTCCTGGGAGAAGGTTCATCGGGGAGGGACACTCACCCACGTGGCACTGCCCCTCCTCACCTGCCGTGTCTCTGGAGGAGGCACAGCCCGGCCGGCCGAGGCGTGGACAGGCATGGGAGGGTGTGTGAGGGCATGAGCACTGTGCGGGTGGGCACGGAGGGGCTCGCCTGTCTCCACAGAGCCCACTGCTCCAGCAGGAGCACCAGGAGCCTCGGAGCAGGTTCACACAGCCCGGCGCCTCCGGAGAGAGCAGAGACACCAGGCTTCCTCTCCCGCCCAGGGTCCACCTCCTGCGAGAGCCCCAAGGACGCTGGGGGAGGGCAGCTGGTAGATGTGGCCGACCTGGAAGTTATCTGCAAGGCGATGGTAGAGTCAGCCTGGCATCTCCTGCATCTTCAGGAGAGTGGATCCCTGCTTATTCGGGGCCACGGACCTCAGGAGAGCGTCCTGTTCGGCTCCTGCTTGGACGAAGTGCCAGTGGGATTCCCCTCGTTCACGCCAGAGGCAACAGAGGCCCCGATTGGTTGACGACCGGACTACGATCCCCGGGGTCTAGACTGGGCGGCGCAGGGGCCGTTTCTCATATCTCTGGCTGCCCAATAGCATTCAAACTTTTCCTGAGTTTGCAGTTTCCTGTGGTGTGAGGCCGCCTCTCTGAGCTAGAAGTCAGAACTCACTCCACCAGCGTCCCTTGTGGCCAGGGCACAGGTGTGCCACCTGGCTCTGCCGATTAGACTCTCTTGCCCACGACCTCAGCTGGGAAGGGTGCAACATGAGGAAGTGGGCCGAGGGCCTCCACCTGCTGGGAGCGGGCGGCAGGGCACCGGGCTCTGTGGCGGGCAGGGCTCTCCAGCACTGGGGCTGCAGCAGCAGCGAGCAAGCTGCTGGGCGCACCAGTGGGTGTTTTTGCAACTGATATATACAATAACCTGGCTTTCAAAAACAGACCAGAGCTGTTCTCCTCACACACCGTCTGAGTGTTTAGGACTCTTGAGGCTGTTCCTATGGAGGGATGAGGACTGGCTGTCCTATTCAGACTGTGACTCGGTCAGGGAGACTGAGAGTACCACACCACACACTGGCTACGAATAGAGGCTCCAGTCAGGGTGACCTGACTTTGAGTCCTCATTCTGCCACCTGCATGCTGTGTGGCCTCAGGTAAGCTAATTAACCTTTCAGAGTCTCACTCTCCTTATCTATACAAGAGAGAGAACAGTAAGTGCCCCCAAGGGCTGCTGAAAAGCCAAAATGAGGTAACCCACTTGAAGGGTTTTGCCAGTGCCTGCACGGTTGTAAGTGCTCACTCGGATGGGCAGAGTTTTGATTCCTCTTCCTCCTGTCCACACTGGCTCTGGCCCCCTTGAGGCACTGAGCAGCTCGAAGCTGCGGCCTGTCACCCCAGCCTGTGAGCTCCCCAGACAGCGTGCATCTCCTCCACACCAGGCACGCAACCCATGCCCAACGCCCGGGGTTGTGAACGCATTTCACTGCAGCTGAGCAGCAGCGGCCTCAGAGGCAATCTAGCCCCACCCTCCCCACACCACCCCCTCGGGCTCCTGGCTGCGCACAGTCAGGTCCAGGCTTCTCAATCTGGCATTCACCATCCCCCATCTGTGGCCCACAGACCACCCACCTCATACGCCATCCCTTCGCCCAACTTGCCTGAGCGGCTCCTCCCCCACTTCTCTGCCTCCTGAACTCCCAGGCAAACGAGCCTCTTGGACACCTCGTGAAAATCAGGAAAAGGTGTCCCCTCCAGGCAGCAGTGGCCTGGCTGGGGCTCAGGCGTCGTGCCAGTCATGGGCAGGATTTCAAACCCCACTTGTCCCCTGGGGCAGTGCACAGCCATACGTGAGGTCCTGGGTCAAGACTGCCCCTCATAAGGATCCCCTCTCACAGCCTGGCCCAGGCCTCCTCTGAGCCACACCCGTGTGCGCCTGGCAGCCATGCCGGGACCGGTACTCTGTCTGAAGGAGACGTGCAGGGAGGAACTCCCAGGCTCGGGCCCCCAGACCCATGCCCACTCCACCCCGCCGAAAGACTCTGGCTCAGGGAGACCACGGCCAGCCTTTGCCTCCTGAGGCTGAGCGCTGGGCCAACTCAGAGCCCAGGCCCTCTCAGAGGGGCTCTTTATGGAAAAGCGTTACGTAAGAGGAGACCTGGGCCAATATTTAGAAGGAATTTTTACCAAAACAAAAAAGAAGTCCGAGAGATCAGTCCATAGCGTCAGCCCACAGGAGGCCACAGATGGTGAGAGCCTAGTCTTCCAGACAACTCGAAATCTCCAGCACAGGGACCTGGAGAACCAATTGGCACTGCTGCATATTTCACCCACAAATTTGCATGACACAGCAAATGCTTTGGGCCACCCGAGGCCCTAGGGCACAGAAGGGCGGCAGCCAGGAAGGGGCGGTGTCCATGTTACGTTTCTGTCCTAACCACCAAAGCATGTTTCAGAAGGGGCCAAGGCTGTGACTTCATGGCCTCCTTCACAGACGCATGGCCTGGCAACTTGAGTTTGAAGATACCAGGGTCTTGCTTTCCTGAGGAAGTCTTTCTTTCTTAGTCTTAAAATAATTCAGGATCGAGGGAATTAACAGGTTCTAACTTAAGCAGGCCTGGTTCAGCTAGACAGACAAACCTGTGGTCTCAGAGGCCGTGCCATGTCTGATCTTCGAGGGGATTCCCCAGCTGCCTGCCGGGGCGGGACCAGGGTTGTTACCTGCAGGCTGATTGGCTGGCTCCACCCCAGGTGGTGAGTGACATCTGTGAGCCCAGGGCCCCTGCTTCATGCTCCAGAACCTTCAGCTCCAGCTGGCACTCACAAGCTGGTTTCATGTCAGTTCATCTCAACAAAACAAAAGGCTCTCCTTGGCCTTTTGTGGACTGAGCTAGCCCTGCCCTGTCTTTGTGGTAGCCCAAAATCTAGATGACGTTCACAGATCAGGTTGGCCCCAGCCAAGGACAGTCTGCCAGTCTGAGGCCTGGGCAGAGGCTGAGCACCAGCTGACCTCGGAATGGCATGCCTTGGCAGGCCTTCAGCCATGGGGCAACCAGTTTCCAGTGGAGCTGGCTCTGGTGATGTCCATGGCAGCCATCAATAATCAATCTCAGAGTCCTCATCAAGACAGGTGGTCACTACCAATCAATCTGAATTGGCCTCCTTGCTGCCTTTTAATTTAGAGATTTCTCACTGGAATATTTACTGATTCCTAAGTAATACAAGTTACTCTTGGGCAGGCACTTTCTCTGCCATCCTCTTTCTTCCTCAATGCCCTTTTTCCCTCTGTTCTCCTTCTGTGCCATTTCCCCTTATCCACCAAAACAGCCGGGGGAGGGATGAGGGCACGGGCAGAGCTGGAGTGGAGTTACTGTCCTAAAGCCCCATTGCAACTGCCATACAGCAAGCGGTCAGGGCAGCCACCCACCCACCTCAGTGACCAGACCTCAGGATGTCAAAGGACCATGCCCAACGAGGAGGCTGGATGGGGCAGCCAACGGCCCAGGGGCCCCGCAGGCCTCCGCCAGTACTCACCGAGCAGCCCCGGGTTGGGGAACCTCCAGGAGTCGTTGTACGAGGGGTACTGAGGGTGGCTGTAGGGGCTCCCGGAAAACTCACTCCCTGCATGCGGTGGACGGGGAGAGAAACAGGAACCAAATGTCAAGTCAGGTTCGGAAAATGCCAATGGCATTTGCCTCTCACATAAACTGCAGGTACTTTTTGTAACCAATAAAGGCAAGTCTGGGCCACACCCTTATCAAGTGGACAGCTGTCATTGGCATTGTCTATATTTCCCCCATAAACTTTTCTTATTAGTGGGAGTGAATACCAGCCTCTCACTTGTGCACCATGACACTACAATGAGCCAGGTGTTCCCTGGGGTGACTGGCTCATTGTACAGGTGAGAAGGCTGATGCCCAGGGTCTCTCACAAAGCAGCCTTGATACACCCACCCAGGTCCAAAGCTGCGGACTACATGGTTCTCAGCCCTGACTGAGGCTGCTCCAGGGCCCCAGTGTGGATTCAGGCCCACTTCCCACGTGTGTCCTGAGTGGCTCTGGACTGAGAAGCCAAGGGTGACCTCAACTCCAGTCCGGCTGTCTGTGCTGTGAATCCAGGCATGGCTGCGCCCAGGGCCTGGGTCTGACGGGGAGGATGAGACACAAACTCAGGCCCTCTGCCAGGAGAGGCAGATGGCACTTAGCCGAGATGAAGGGATAAGCCAAAGGGCTGGCAGGGGCACAGCGAGGGAGTGGGTTGGGCCTTCCAGGCAGTGGGGAAGGGGCAGCCATTACTGCTCTCGGTGAGCCTAGGCAGGACCCGCAAGCTGTGCCTGGTGGGGTAGTGCAGGGTATGTGGGGCTGGTGGGACTGAGGACAGCATGCCCTCGCCCAGCTGCTCATGGGGCCGTGATGCTCATGTACTTCCCTGCACTCTCACTTCCAGCCCCAGGAGAGCCTCCTTTCCACCGGCCGGTCACAGGAGACAGTTGGGAATCCCTGCCCTCTAGCCTCGCCGCTTGGCTCTGCAGCAGGAGGGACCCAGCCCATCTCCTTCCTCTAGCTGTGGCTCCCAGAGGGCAGGGTTTGGGCCTGATTCATCACAAGGTCCCCTGTGCACCACGGCACAGGCTATGCTGGTAGCTGGCTGTTGAGCAGCTTTTTAAGCCACGGGTTACAGAGCATGTGGGCCCCTCCTGGCAGTGGTGACGGGAGTTACACAGCTCCACGAGACCACCCTCGGCCCAAAGATGCTTCCATGGGTTCTTCCCAAGGATGCCAAAGGGCCAAAGGGCAGGAGCCTCCAGAAGGGACCGGCCAGATGTCAGGACCCAGCACTGCTCTTTCCCCTGTGGCTTGGGGGGCCCCCGGGGCTCCAGCAGGTGCAGCAGGAACAATAAAGCAGGGCTGAGGGGCCAGCCGCTCCCACCTCCTGGGCCCAGCCAGCCTCTTCCACAGGCAACAGCAGGCAGAGCGAGCCCACACACACACACACACACACACACACACACACACACACACGTGTACTCCTCCTCAGGCCTCTCTGGGGGCCACTCCCAGCCTGACAGCCTGAGCCTTCCAATTCTCTGTTTTTTATGCCTCAGTGGTCAGGGTGTCAGGTTCCAGCGTGTGGAGGGAGAGCATGGTGACAGTGCTGGGCTGCAGCAGCCCAGCCTCAGCATATCCGTCAGCACCAGGCACCGCCTCCTCCTCCTCAGGGCCAGGGGAGGGGAGCGGAGAGACAGAGCTGCCCGGAGAAGGGGGATGGCCACCCTCCCCACAGGGCTCCAGGTACCCAAGGAGCAGCCCCATCAGAGGCACTTCCTGACAGTGCTGTGCCTGGGCCCGGGCCGTCGGGCTACGCTGGCAAAGGCTGTCTCTGCATCTCCATCTAGCAGCATCACGCCTGTCCGCCAGGCCCGGCTCCAAGGCCACCTCTTCCAGGAAGCCTCCTTGATCTCCAGCCCCCCAAAGAGCAAGTCTCAGGTCCATCCAGCTGCAGTTAATTAGTTCATTGTGTCTGTGTCATTCATCCTGCACCCCTCAAATCTGGTCCCCAAATTGGCAAAGGGCCATAAACAGCTCCAACTCCTTTAGGGGATATACCTAGTCAGGCTTGCCCACTGTGCCTGGCATCCTAGAACCCCACTCAGACAACTCTTTCTCCGGGCAGCCTCTTCTCCTGCCCTCCTCGGGTGCACTCAGCCTCCCGCCACGTCCCACAGCACTGGATTCGCCCGACATGCACAGGAGTCTCCTGTGACATGGGACTGTCTGCCCTGCAGGTCGCTGTCTGATTCCTCTTGGCACCCACGTGCCCGCCCAGTGCCATGCCCGGTCCAGAGGCAGCCGGTGCCCCGTGAGTCCCGCAGCACCCCTGCCTCCACCTGTAACGTGCTCGTGCTGGGTGGCCGCATGGCTGCCCCTCACCTCCTTCTCGGCTTTGCTCCAGCACCGTCTCTGGACTACTGCATCTAAAGTGGAAACTCCTTCCACCCCAGCCTCTTTCCTGCTGTACTTTTCTCCACAGAACTGGTCACAATCCAACACAACATTTTGTTTATTGTGCTTATCTTGTTAATTCTGCCTCCTCCACTGGGCATAAGCCCATGGGGTCAAGGAGTTTGTCTGTTGAGTTCATGTCTCCATCCCAACGTCTAACCCAGGGCCTGGCATCAGCAGGCACTGAAAACTACTCACTTACTGAATGAATGAATGAGTGAATGGGCACTGCTCAGTCAACCAGCGACACGGACGATGGCTCCCACTACTTCTGTTATCAGTACCCATAGGCAGAGCATGCGCGTACGCATGCACACATACAGACGCTCCCAGCCTGACGGGTGTACTGAGAACCTGCTGTATGCCAGGATTCAAACCATTTCTCTGATCCATTGGCCAGGTTGCCCCCACCCAGCCATCCTGCTCCTCAGTGGAAAGAATGAACCCCCAGGGCCGGCCTCCCTGGGGCACTAGGAGTGGTGTGTGGTGGGCACCCTAAGCACGGGGTCCCTCCCTGTCCTGTGAGATGTCCTGTGAGAGTGTGCACTCTGGGTAGGGGAGCTTGACCATCTCCGGGGCATGAGGCTGACCCCAGGGCTGGTCCAGCCACCTGCTGGGGACACTGGGACGGTGTCTGAAGTGCCACACAGGAAGCCAGCTGAGTGTAGGGAGTCCTCACCCCATGAGATGTGGGGAGGCCAGGTCCTCAATCACCGAGGAAGCTGCCTGTCTGCAGACCTGGCCCAGCCCGGCCACAAAGACTGCTGGGAAGAACAGACTGCCCAGGTTTAAGCCCACATGCTGCCACTGAACCCTGTGGTCCTCAGTCAGTCTGGCACAGGGGCCGGGAGCAAGGGCTCTGGAGCCAGACCACCTGAGTTCAAATCCTGGGTCTGCCTCTTCCTAGCAGGTCACTCAAACTCTCTGTGCCTCAGTGTCCTCCTCAGTGAGGTAGGGCAATCACCAGATCCCATCACATGTGGTCACTGTACAGACTGAGCGAACAGTCCCCAGAGTGGCCGGCACACAGGGAACACTCAGCAAATATCAGCCACAATGACAATGACCCCATGTGGGTCACCGAGGCCTCCTGGGTATCCAGAATCTCATTTAACGCTCCTGACAACCCTGTGAAGCTCACAAGATGGGGACAACTGTGTACATCTTATGTCAGGAAATGGAGCCTCAGGACGGTGGGGGACTTGGCCAGCCTCCTGTCTTCCAGCCCAGGGCCCTGTGCCTAGGTGACACTGCCTTCCACCCAAGGCCTCTGTCTCCCGTGTGTAACAGAACAGATCAGACCAAGCAATGTGTAAAGGCCCTTCTTGTCTGCTGGCCTGAATTTCACTCTGGGGGCCGTGGCGTTCCTCAGGGAGAGAGGCCCCTCCTCTGGGGCCCCACGAGGCTGGCTTTCTTTGGGTCTGGAGCCTCCAAATTCCTGCTTCGTTTCCCCTGCTGAGTCCGCCACCATCATGACACTCGAGGACCACTCACCGCCTCCCCTCCAAACCTCACGACAGCAGCTTAGAAAAGTGGATCTTGTCCAGCCAAGAGAAGGTCTGGGGAAAGCACAGGGGCCCTTTTCTGGAGTGGAGGGGCACATGAGCCAGGGTGGAGAGGATTCTGATAAGCAGAGGGATGCAGGGTGTCTCAGGCACAGCAAAGGTCTGGGGGGTGCTGGTCGGGGTGTGACCCCCAGGTGGCCAGGTCTTCATGAGGTCCTAGCAGAGGCAAGCTGCAGAGCAGAGCGGGGCAGGGCAGGACTGGGACCCAGGGAAGCCTTCAGACTAGGGAGTGCCAGATCTGGAGGACAGGCTGGAGGAGGTGAGCCTGTGGTCAGAGAGACCAGCCCGGGGACTGCAGCCACAGTCCAAGCACGAGGGAAGGGGAGCCCAGAAGACCGCAGAGCTGCCCCGTCCAAGGACACGAAATGATGCCCCTCCAGGGCAGGAATGAGAGTCTCAGGGCTGAAAAGGGAAGCCGCCGCTTCTGGCTCATTGCTGGGACCCCCAGAGGTTCAGCCAGCTGGCCCAAGACAAAGATCACACAATAACCACCTTCCCTTACGACTGCCCAGCACAAAGGACACCACAGGCCCCACACCTCTTTCCACGAACTGATGCAGGCTTTTGGCATCTCTCAAAAACCAGCCCCTTAGAGTGGGAAACTTTCTCTTTATGCATTCAAAAGCTTCTCTGAGGCCTGACCGGAGAGCCAGCTCGCGCTCAGGTGGCTGTCACTCAGTGGGCAGTGAAACCTCCATCAGGGGCACCCTCCACATGGGCCCTCTTCAGAGACAGCTCCTGGGCTGTCTGGAGTCCATCACGCCTAAACCCCTAAGAACTCTCAACAACAAAACATGTGTCATGATCTTCTCCACCCCCGGCCCCCGAGGAGTGAGCAGTCCTGAGGAGAAACAGGACTGGAGTCAGCACTGCAAACTGGGCCCCAGTGCAGTGCTGCGGAGCAGGAAGTGGGCAGGGGCAGGGAGGGCATGCCCATGGGGTGAGGGTGGCACTCCTGCGGCAGGACTGGGACAGAGCATGCTCTGTAGTCAACTCGCCACTTAGTGGCTGTGTGGCCTTGGGTAAGTGATTGAACCTCTCTAGGCAGAGTCTC